CCCCCCGCAGGTTACACAATAGGTTGTTAGGATTTGGCAACAATCTCCAAAGTCTTCACTCATACAGATTTACAAATACACAGACCCATCTCTCCTTGAACTCTTACTGTGTTATATCTACAAAACAAATCTGTAGCTTCATGTAGGAGCATAGAGACTGAGCAAGACCTTCTCTTTCATTTTGTTCCTTCTCCCTTTTAATTGCTGGAGGCTACTTGCATATTAAACTTGCAAAAAAAAAAAAGAAGGAAAAGAAAAAACACAGAAAAACAGGAACTGTATCCAGGGCTTTCTGGGCGCCGTATTCATTCAGTGTGGGGAGGCATCTGGCAGAAAGGGTATAGAAATGTACATGGAAAAGAGGAAAAGTGGGCCTCTCAGGAATCCAGAGAATCCAGAGATAAAGGGCTTGTTCAGTAAGGGACTGGAGATGTTGTCCTGGTTTTGGATGAACATTTATCTACATGATCAAATTTATTTTAGTTTCTTCTTTCAAAAAATCAGGAATTACATTCCTGAAGTATTCCAAATTAAAAGAATAATTTGCTATGTCAAGCAGTCCATTGTTTCAGCAATTTTAGCTGCCCCTGGATATACAAATTACAGTGCAAACCACTTTTCTAGTAAAGTATTACTTAAGAACTCTCTCAGCATTGAATTTGAGGTCTCAAAGACTGCATTTTTTTATTAGATGGCCAAGCAACATTACCATGCAAGTATTATAGCAGTCATAATTAACTGCAATCATGCTCCAAAATAAATACCTTTAAAATAAAAAATTAGGTTAGCACTGACTCTGATTGAGAATAAAGATCACAAGAAAAGGAGTTTATAAAATAAGATTTTCAAAGGAAATTGCTGTTATAACTTTAACATGCCTTTTTGTAGATGATCTAATATGCCCGTGTCACCACCCCCAATTTGCAGATGAGAAAAACAAGACACGAGATAACTGACTTGCACACTTCATGCAGTGAGTCACTGTAGCAAAGTAAGGTTTCTAGAATCTTGAAGCCCACTCCTTTGTACTAACCATATTTCAAACTCAGAAAAAATAATAATCATAAAAGCAATTCATAAAGCCATATGCCTCACTAGATTCCTTCAGTATATGACTGAGAAAAAGCAGTTTGCATTCTGCTTAAATCTGATGCTACTTAACTCTATAGATCTGATAAACTAACTGGAACATCAGCCAGAATGGAGGGGTATTTGCGGATCTGAAGGCTCCTCAGTGAAGTTATTTTTTAATCTGTCCTTACTATTTTACAGCAGAAAGCTATATGCTTGCATACCTCAGTGGGTAACAATCAGTGATGTGAATATAGGTAAAGAGGCAGTTCCTGAGATAAACAGGACCTAAAGGCAATGCTCCTTTGAAGATGAGAATCAACACTATTAACCTGAATGTGAAAATCATCTGGAAGTCACTGAACATCACAGTTGTGATACCTCAATAATGAAAATTAGTGGGACAGTGAGTTTCCTTATTTGGAATGGACTAGAGTTTAAGAGTAATCTTTGGGCATAATTCTTAGCAGAAACCACTGCAATATTCTGTCATACAGTATACCCTTTATAGTCCCCACCAAAAGAAAACATGGTCTTGGACAGTGCTACTACATGCATACCTAGAAGTGTATAATATAAGAATGTGACCATCACACATAGCATCAGCCCTCAATATTTACCATTTCTTACATGTAGCAGAATTACCTCCATTCTAAAATCCTTATACTAACACACTATTTTTTCCCACTGCTACACTTCCTAACACATATACAGTATTATTCTTAAGATAACCTCCATGACTGATATTAAATTGAAAAAAAAAACCAGGAGAATAATTCAGAATCCTTATGAGTATACAGATATTGAGGTCTATAATGAAATGTTTGCTGTATATGCATTCTGCCATATTAATTAAAAATATTATTTATATATGTACACTTACCATATGATCTTCACAAGTGTTAAATTTGTAACAACAAAATTTTTTATTCATATTTTATCTAGTAATTTTATTATTTCATACCAATAAATTGAGGATGTATTTCAAGTTCATCAAAATAGTTGAGGACAGTATTATCATCTGTGTTTAACTCTCTGAAGAGATTCAGAGATTGCAGGAACCGGTCCTGGGTATAATGAGTTCCAGCAACAATTCTCTCTGGCAGATTTATTATTCTCTTTATAAGGAATTCATCAGATGCAGTCAAAGAAATAACAAATTCTGTGAAGAAGAACATATTATCAGTGCCCATATATTATTGTTTTTCCTCTTTCTTACCTATTTTGTGTTAATAATAAATTTTAAACCACAACTGACCATAAATAGTTGTGAATCTTCTATATTTGATAGAGAATTCAACTATCAAATGCTTATATTCAACTTCTCCAGTTAGAGCAATCCAACAATATTAAGAGTCATGTCTGTAAAAAAGCTACATATTCTAGATTCAGCAAATTCTTTCTTAGTACTATCAGCAAGACTATTGTTGCCATAAGCAGCACAAAAATCTTAAGAACAGCAATGCAGTGTAGTCCAGGTTTTCTGAGAAAGCTATCATACATGTAATACATATAGGGGGAAAAAAATTCTTATGAATGGTGCAGCCAAAGCAGCAAGGGACACTGGAAAATTTTACAACTCACTTGTTTTTAAAGTTATCAAAAATCATCACTCTCTATTGTGACTTTTAATCTCATAAAGGTGTATCTGCTGAATTAAAGTAAATTTTAAAAAAATCAAATAGTACATTAAAGATACTATGCCACCATATGCCATGACATTTAGGGTCAATGTTATTTTGGTACTTTTAGTAGACAAACCACCAGAAATCTTTTAAGGATCTATTAAAAAAACCTTATCTTCTTTCTTCACTTCAGAAGTTGCATATTTTTAGTTTAATTAGGCTGAATCTTGCAGTATTTTATTTGCATTTATTATATATGGCAATAAATTTACATTTATTAAATATGACTTCATATAATATATCACAATATATTCTGACATTTCTATTAGTATAATTACTCAATACTACTGAAACCTGTTAATTTAACAAAGCCAGGAAGCAATTTTCTGACATCAGAGAGAAATTTGCAGAACTAAGCACAGATACAGCCCTCCCACCCCAGCCTTCTCCCCAGAAAAACCTCAAAAAAACCAAAAACAAACCAAATAAAACCTCCCCAAAACAACAAAAATCCTCTCTGGACCATTCTGGTTTTTAAAGGAAGTTTTCTCCAAGGTTGAGAAGGTATCTTTTAAAACAGATCCCATGCCTGAAGTCCTTGTTATGGGAGAGAAAGTGGTACTTCTCCAGCCTATCATAATAATTCATTTACATTTCCTGTTTTGAAATGGTGGCTAAAAGGGGTTTTGTTTATGAATAACAGAAATTATTCACTTCAGAAATCAGCAATTCATAAGTAGTTAAAGACTTGGTAGAAGACTGCTTTTTAAATCAAACCTTTATTCCTTTCATCTAAGTTCAAGGACTAAGGAATTTTTCAGAACGTTCTGAATTTTCTTTACTTCCATTGAAACCAGTAAATTTTCATCTACTGAAACACTAAGCATTTGAGATTTTAAACCTTTATATTATCTAACCATACACATCTTGTAATGCAAAATATGCCAAATGTATTGTTTGAATGTAATCAAAACTTCCAAAGAACTCAAGAATAACAAAACCACCAGGATGAAGCCATTTCTGCAGAGATTAAAACCACTCTATTTTAATTCCCAACTGATGCTTTAAAATTAATTTAGTAACATCTTTCAAGATATCACACTGAAGATAAACTTGCATTCATTTAATATGCCAAGTTCAGGAGCTCATGTTTATTCCATTAACAGCAGCTGTAATCACAACAAAGGCAGCCACTATTGTTATCAGCCAAAAGCTGATCACATTTTCACAAAAAGAAAAAAAAAGAATAAAACACCCACAAACTGAACCAAAACCTTCCTTTTGATTAATTGTTCAGTTTCAAGTAAGAAGGCAGCAGCATTACACAGATTAGATATTTATTTTATGTTAAATTAAACATGAACAGATGGAGTGATATTTTAGACTTCTCCTTGGTGGCAGCAGTATTTGAAAACTCCTCTATTTAAAAAGAAATCTACCAAACTTACCAGGTATGATTGATTTATCACAATTAAATATTTTGCTTTTAATTTTTTCTTCACCTTGACTTTCCACTAAAACAAAAGTAAGAAACGATTGACATTTTCATTTGAAGCAACAATACCATTATATTTGCTAAAAACATGCCCAGTACCAACATAGGTTTGTCTATATTCAAATTATACTGATTGTTGGAAATTAATCTAACCTGGACACCAGGTTAATTCATGCTGCCAGTCACCACAGAATTCTACCTTGGGACACTAATAGTCGTTTGCCAATACAGCAGAAGTATGTACATGCATACACAGTTTTAAAATGTGTCCATTCTGCTGTCCTGACCTTGGCCTCTCCTCCTGCCAAGTACATTATTCTGCCAAAAACAGAGACAAGGCTCAGAACAGTGAGTAGAAATGTTTCACAGTAGTATAGTTAAAATGGTTTCTGCCACTAGGTGTCTGCTGTTCTGAATAGTCAGTAAAACTGCCTGAAGAGCATCAACTGAGCATGATAATTTACAACCCAGCATATTAAACTGAACAAGACTGGTTTTGGTTTTCCTTCAGATGATTCTAAGTCTTAATGCATGGAACCTGAGTGCTTGCTTACAATTTGAAATGTTGCAGAGCTCCTCTGAAGTCGTATCTACTGTAGCTGATCTAATATACCCCCTCTAATCTGGCTCACAAAACACATATTGGTGCACTGGCTGGATCCCCTCATTAAGCAGCCCTTAAATATTATGAAAAAATTCTGCCTTAGAGCTTGCTTGAGTAGCTTAGGCCAACACAGAACCAAGAAAGCATTCTCCTTATTTGTGCATTTACTCACTACTTTGCCAGCAAAGATTGTGTGAAAACTATTTTGTTCTTAAATTAAATAAGGTATATTACAATCCTCCTTACATTTTTAGCATCACGTGAAAACAACTTTGTGTCCTGCACTGCAGTCATTACAGTGCTGATGCACTTTAACTAATATGACACTGAGGATAATAATAATGACAATATTATCAGAAATAAAAACAAAAGCAGCAATAAAAACAAAAGTAGCAGTACTTACAATTAAAAAGATCTTTTGCCTGGTCATAGGTCTCTGGGAACCCATCTAAAACATAACCCTGATTCCTACAAGGCATAGATTTGAGTTTATCCTTCACAAATTTAACAACATACTCATCATCTAGACGACCTAAAACACAAAGAGGGTTAATAAGTAAACAGTTTATGAAAAAGAGACATTGGAAATTATTTAACTAACATTTTAATTAATTTATGAGAGAGATCTCTATTTAGACCCTAAAAAATTAATGTATTTTCAGTTACTTTTTGTATATTACATGTTGTCAGCGATCTATGCAAAATAAATGTGTAGCTATAAAATAAAATTACATTTCTGTTTACAAGGATATAAATATTATAACTTTAAGGATACTAAAAATGAAAATAGCTTTTTTAATAATAATGCAATCAGATTTTAATAGAAGAAGCAAAGAAATATTTATAGAAAAAAAAAAACTTGACAAAGCAATCATTTTCTATTTCCAGTTAACAGTAGGACTTCAAGATACTCTTGAGATACTCCTATCTCAAACATGAGATAGGTTTTACAACTTTCATTTTCAGATTAATAGATTGAGACATGAAGTGGTTTATTAACTTGGCCTACATTGTAGAGCAAATGTATGGGAGTAAATAGTTTGGTTTGACCTGATTTTTTTGGTCCTTTTGCAACCATTGACTCTAGTTTCCCGCTTTATTTTGCTTTGGCTTTTAAAAGTCTTAAATACTCATAAACCACTGTCATCATAAAAGTATGTTACTATTTTAAAAGGCATTATTATAAACAACAAAGCAAGACATGTAGAAGAGGTGCTGCCTTGGATCTCATTACTGAAGCTTTCGGGCACAGTACAAGTTCATTGCTTTGCAGATGCACAAGATCCAAGTCAGGTAAACCTTTAGTGACAGAATGCATTTTTAAGGAGGGGTCATTTTATACCACATGGAAATGGAAAATGTTAAGTACTAAGTCAAAAACCACATGACTTTATTCATATTTAGACGATAATTAGTGCTTTTCAGAAAGAGCAATTTTTATGGACTTTTTTCAATATATAGACTTTAAAATTCTTTACAGTCTTCAGTAAATACTATTTACTTTTTAAAGATGGCCAAAATGAGGTACAAGGTACTTAAAAAACACCGCAATCTCATATGATGATGCACTAATTCTTTTTTTTCCTAGAATACTTTTCTTCTTTGCAAATTTGATATACTTCCCTAACATTTTACTTTATATTATATAAATCATGCTCACTGTTCTGAGAAGAAAACATGATGCTATTAAAAAAATCTGGCCCAGAGTCTAATGCTTATGAACATACCATTGTTACTTATATCAACTTATGAGGTAAAAAGAATTATATAAAATGTATAAAAAAGTAGAAAGAGGGAACTTTCTCCAAAGCACCATGGTATTTAAAAATATATTGCCTTTAATATACAAGGTATATAATGGAAAACATTGTATTTTATTTTAAAAGAAGTTACATACAAATGGACAGAACATGAGTCTTGCTTTTAGTAGCACGTAAAAGTTCTAAAGTACAAATTTATTTCCTGATTTTCTATTTGCATAGGGTTGCACTAGTTACCTAAATCCCATCCTAGTACTTTGTATTTCCTACCTGTACTCTGCTCCATGCTTTCTTTTATTCCAGCTAATAACTCTTGTGCTGCTTCTACATTTTTACCCTCCACCTCCTCCTCTTCTTCCTCTTCCACATTGTCAGAGTTCCATTCTTGAGAAGCCACAACTTTCTCCTGAAGACAAGATCAGAAATATGAATAGGCTCAGAAATTCCATAGAAAAATGTCTTTTATACAAAGATTTAATAAAGGGAAAAAAAATTAAAAATTAATTTCACATGTGTTCCTGGACAGTGAGATACTGAGCAACCTTCAGTCTCTAAAGAGAGTTCAGTGTATCCCCCTGAGGTGATCAGTATGCCGAAAGATATTTATGTTCTAAAATAAAGGAATGATAACTAATTTTTAAATTATGCCATACATTTTAAAATAACAGAAATTAAAATAATAGCAATATTAGAAAAAAACAACACACCAGATTTGCTATTGTTTCAGAAATCACATTGTTTATCTTAATGTGTTGTAGCTTGTAGTGTTTGCAGAGCTCTTCAGCAATGGTCGATTTGCCAACCCCAGGAGGACCATGAATGTAAACTTTGAGAGGCTGGAAAAAAAAGATAAAGATATAATACCATTCAAACAATATGGGTGGTTTTATGTAAAAGAAATAATCTGATTACTATAACTAATAGGAAATAACAATTAATATAATTAAAATTTAAAATATATTTTAGTTTTATTCACACCAAATATTTATTTTCTCGCTGAATATCTCCCATGTCATCTACAGGCTTCGAGTAATCCAGTTACTTAATCTAAATGTACTACTTCACCACTGGAGAAAAAGCATGTTTTAATTTAGTAGACTCACAGACCAACTTATAGTGGCACTATTAGTGTTTGAATAATTAAAAGAGATGAAACATAACCCCATAGATAGGATGCAGTGAATTTTGGAATGATGTGTGTGTTCTATTATACACATGCAATAGCTCTGTTTCCCAGCTGAGGCAGAGTTGCTGTTATCACAATGGTTATTTTGACCTCAAAAATTTCAGATCCACCACAATCTTAAGACACCATTCGTTTGCAATTTCAGCCTACCTAGCCTGTGGATAAGTAAGTGTAATTAAGTTTCCAGTATACATTTATTAAATATATTGTGCAACAACCTCAAAATCATACATAATTAACTGCCTGTCCTGACAGTGCAAACTCTGCAAATTTAATAGAGTAGTGACAGGGACAGAGGTCTAGCTAGCCTTCCTTCTCCTTGACACTGATGTGTTTATATCGTGTACTGAATTTTTTTAATTACATGCATATGTACTCAGATGCAGTAATTTAACCCAAACACAAATGTGTTAATCCTTTCAGAGGTATGCAGGGCCTTTTAAAGAACAAACTAGAACACTGGTAGTTGTATTTTGTTTTACACCTCCTGAGTTTAGATATAGACATGCTGAACAGTTTTATCATACCAATCAATACTTGAATGTATGCAAGCATTTTTCTGCACCTTTCAATAACCTTTCCTATACATTTGAATGCAGAAGTTCTAAATATTAAGCTAATATATGAAACAGCAAAGTTACTCAGTACATTACTCAGTAGAGCAGGGTAAAATGAAGGCTGCATTGCAATTGAATATCCTGGCTCACTAAATATAAAGAAGGACACAAAATACTTGCCTAACTACTGACTATTATAAAAAAGCTTAAATAAAAGATATACTTATTGTGTTCTTGAAGCAAAGTACACTAGGAATGCCATATAATGCACACAGAAACTAGTTTCTGCATCAGGAAGCTTCTTTGCATTTATAGGGTTTCAGTTTTAGACATAAAAGAAATGAAACTTAATTATTATTGTTTTAATTAATATTCCTTCTTTTTTAACTCCTTCAATTTAATTTTCAGTTTGTATGTTCACTCATTTTGCATCTATAGCAGTCTTCCATGTATTTTTACTTAAAGAAATTAAAGCTTGTGTTTATATAACCATTTCTATTGTGGAAAAAAAAAAAAGAAAGGAGCACTTTAAGATAGCATACACCAAACCATTACCAGCAATCCTCGACTTTGCTTGTATTCCTTGACAATTTGTTCAATATTCTCCACCAGTCCTGCCTGAGCAACCCACTTAATGTTGAAAGTCTCTTTCAGAAACATGGATTCCATTCGCAGGTTCACAAACAACATATCCAAATGCATTTGCTGAGGGAGGAAAGCTGCATTTATTTTCAGACTTAAGATATGACTGTTAAAAGAACACTGTTAGCTTAAACTAGAGACTAGAATAGAGGGGTAGGAACAGAAAGAATTAAAGCATAGGGAAAAAAGGTTTGCACACAAAGCAAAACAGACATTTTAAGCTTTTAAAAAATATAAACATTTTCAATGTGTATTTGTATTTGAGTCTCATGAATTATTAGAACATGAATCATTGAAAAATTATTCTGTACAATACAAAAGTTTCATATAATTGCATAACTTTCATAAATTTATCAAGTACCCTCTTAAAACTACCAGGGCTGCAATTTTTTTATTTCTCCTATGAACAGTTTATTCCAGATGAATAGATGAATACAACATAAATCATGTATGCTGTGTTCATCAGCCTCAGTAGCACCCCATTATTAACTTTTTGTTATTTTTATCATTTTGTTTAGGTTTTGTTAGAGTGCTCCAGTATGCTCAGTGCAACAGTGACAATAGTGCTTCACTGCTTTTCTAAATCAGGCTGTAACTCCTCAAAAGAGTCTGTTCTGTTTAAATGGTTAAATTTTAGTTTGCTTATTTTTTAATTCTAAAATCACTGTATATATATATTTTAGGCATGTTTTAAGGTTAATTTTTTCTGGTGAAATAAACAAATAAATTATATATTTCATTATTTTGTACTTTTAAGTTGACATACTTTCCTTAAATAATAAAAGAAAAAAAAAAGTACTAACTGTTAACTCTTTGGTCAGGAATGCATTTTCTTTTGGAATCATCTCAATTTTTCCTGGTCCAACATTTTTACTGATACACTATCAAGAAAAAAAAAATGCACTTATTACATCGTATTATTATAAAAAAAAAGAACAGGATTTCTGTGGATGTATGCTTTAAATGTTATGTTACAATATACTTCAAAAATCAGTATACTGATTTGAAATAGATCAAAGAAGAGCATATTAACTTTAATGTTAGTATTAAACACTTTTGTTTTACTATAGAATTCCTCCTTAGTACTTGCAACACCCCCCCCCCCCCCCGCCAAACTACAAAGAAAAAACCAACCAAACAACCCAAAACCACAGAAAAGTGTTCTGAATCTCTGTACAGCTTCATATTGTTTAAGATCTATTTGGAGACCTTTATTATTTCCCAGGACTTTCACTTCAGGTTCTTGAAGTATTTAATTCTGTTAATTATCAGGAAGGGTTTTCAGCTCAATGCCACCAATAACTCTCCATATAACCTTTTCCTTTCATCAACAGACAGACATTGTTAGTTACTTCTACAACTCTTTAAAATAGATTTAAAACCCAGTAGATTCCATAAAATCATAAAAATTGATATAAAGCATCAGATCAAATCTACATATATTCCAGCATTCTGTCTCCAATGATGTCCATTAGTAGACACCTAAATGGTGTGGGAAGTAAGAGTGGAAAAAGTGTATATGATACTCCTTACAGATATTCTTCTCATCTTCAACCATTTTCAGCTCAGACTTCCTAAACTAGAAATAGCTGCTGTATATTTAAGTAAGTCTCAAGGTATTCCTCTCCCATATACCTTTCCAGTCTTCCCCTGGGCTGGTACAGCTCCCTGCCAAGACAGCTCTCTGCAGCACTGGCTACCTCTGGCAACTTCCTGTCTCTAAAAGAACTGTCCACTTACTCCTGCCCTCTGTTTCCCATTTCTAAACAATCACATACCTATAAAAGCACCCAACCACTTGTCTTCAGGTGCCTATCTGCTTCTTAACAGCTTTTAGTGAAGTACTTCTTTGAACGCCTTTGGGAAATTCAAGTAGACTACATCAGCTTGTACAACCTTATCCAGATTTGTTGGTCATATTAAAGAACTTCAGGAGGTTTCCAAAGTATTTAAAAGTACTTTTTTGGAAAGTATTTCTTGGGAAAGTATTTTTAAAAAGTCACACTGACTCTTCTCAAATAGATTATATGTATCTGGGTGCCCTTTAATGCATTCAATTTATTATAGTTTTTAATAATGTACCTAGTTATTAGCCAATGTTATGAGGCATATTGCCCTGTAACTTCCAAAAGTTTTCAGGAACATCTCTTTTTACATTGGCATCACATTTATCATCCTCCAGTCTTCAAGTGGCAGGACAGTGCTAAACAGCAGGTTGCATGTGTGAACTAGCAATTCAGACATACTTCTTCCCTGAGCTATTTCAGACCTCTTCAGTCAATACCATAAGACTCTGGTGGTTTCTTAGTGTTAATTTTATCAGTTCATTCTATAATCTTTTCTACAGTTACTTTAGTTTTATACAGATTCTCTAACAAGTTATCCACAAACTGATCCTGAAGCATTAAGATGCTTCCAAATTCTTACCCATATCCTCTAATGCAAAGCATCTCAGCTATGGCCTTGTCTTCTCTAAGTGTTCCTTCTATACTATAATCATCAATTTGCCTTATAGATTTTCTGGCAGGCTTTTTGTTTTTCAATTGCTTGAAAAAAGGATATTAATTTTGACTCTTTCCTGATAGTTGATCTTTAAGTGGTTTTTTCACTTATCTTGCCAGATTTCATGATCTTTTCTATTCTGTTTTATTCATCTGGACATAACCGTAACTTTTTGAAGTCTTGCCATATGGCCTTATATGGCTAATGTAAGTTTCAAGAGCCTCTACCCTTCTCCTCTAAGGATTTAATATTTTTAATGTCTTTTGTGTTCATTTTCATATAATGCTCTTTCCCATTACAGAAAGGGAGCTGTGGTCAAGCTCAAAAAGTTATTTTGACCTTCACTTCTTCCATAGGAATATTGACTAATTTCATTATGGTCAGTTATACAGAATGGCTCTTCAACTATTAGCTTTTCAGTGAGACCCTGTATACTTACCTGAACCCAAACAAAGGCTGCATCTTCTTGTGAGCTCCCTAACACACTGTTCCATGAAACACTCTCTGACACAACCAAAAAAATTGGGCTGTTACGTTTGGTCGTTAGGTAACGTTTGCTCAATGTCCACGCACACGTCTCCTATTATATTGTATTAGTTGACTCTCACTATCAGTGCATGGTTTAACAGTGTCATCAAGATTATTTCTGGACTTAATTTCAAAATGCTTGGAAAAACAAGACATCTTCCTACCAAATGAAGGAAAAAAACATCTTAAAGACTTTGAGTACCTAATTACAGTACTGTGAATCCCATAAAAATTCACCAGAACCTTGTTAAGTAAAATTTCTAGTTAAGTTAATGATGATACTACAAAAGTTATTTCTGCAAAATCAGGTCCAAGTAATGTATTTTGTTCAAAGGACAGAAGTCTTGGAGAATTTCAAAATAAATTTCTGTCATTTACTACATAATTTAATTCAGGAAGACCTAGGAACTTCTACTTCAGTAAAATGTATAGTTTTGTAAACCTTAAAGATACCTGAAAAAAAAAAAAAAAAAAAAAGAAAAGAATCTAATTGCTTACCTTTATTAATTCTTGAAGAGTGTGCATAGAGTCATCTACTGCAAGTAAATAGTGAGACCGTGGCCTGTGGTCTGCTACATTTTGTAACACACTGAAACATAGCAAGTACGGTGAGGGCTGGTAGTCAGAGAAGCACACTGGGCTTTCATTATTAAATGCATTTCAGAAACAGCACAAAGAGTTTGTAAAATCTTACAGAACTTTTCAGAGCATGGCATTGCCATATATATTTTCCCTAATAAAGAAGCATAGCTAGATATTTTAGTTGGAAAGAAGTTCAAAGGATAAAAGCAACATCTGTAGAAGATACTGACGTAGCCTGCTGTAGAGTCCATGATCCATGTCCGATTCTGTGCCAGCTAACTGGTATCACACTCTAGATTGAGATTGCTAGTAATCTCTTAAAAGCACAGCACCAGTGCAACAGTCAGATACCATTTAAGGAAGGGCTATCTAGTACTAAGGAAATTTTTTTTATCTAGTACTAAAGTGTCTGTTTTACTCAGAAAGAAGGGCCAGTGTTCTTAAACCTACCTACCCCGATTTAAAAGCCTCAGTACTCTCTAGTAGATTTGGATTTGTTAAGGTGGCCAAGAAGGCCAACAGCATCCTGGCTTGGGTCAGAAATAGTGTGGCCAGCAGGAGCAGGGAAGTGATTGTCCCCCGGTACTTGGCACTGGTGAGGCCGCACCTCGAGTACTGTGTTCAATTTTGGGTACCTCACTACAAGTACACTGAGTTGCTGGAGTGTGTGCAAAGAAGGGCAACAAAGCTGATGAAGGGCCTGGAGAACAAGTTTTATGAGGAGTGGCTGAGGGAATTTGGATTATTTAGTCTGGAGAAGAGGAGGTTGAGGGGAGACCTTATTGCTCTCCACAACTACTTGAAAGGAGGCTGTAGCAAGGTGGGTGTTGATCTCTTCTCCCAAGTATTGTGAGATAACAAGTGATGGGACAAGAGGGAACAGCCTTAAGTTGTGCCAAGGGAGGTTTAGGTTGGATATTAGGAAAAAATTCTTCACTGAAAGGGTTGTCAAGCATTGGAACAGGCTGCCCAGGTGGAGTCACCATCCCTGGACGTATTTAAAGGACGTGTAGATGTCGTACTTGGGGACATGTTTTAGTGGTGAACTTGGCAATGCTGGGTTTATGGTTGGACTAGATGATCGTAATGGTCTTTTCCAACCAAACTATTCTATGATTCTAGCAAGGTACCAATTATTGTCCAGGGGAACTTTTTTTTTTACTTACGCTGCTAAATCAAGAACATGAATGGTTGGAATAAAATTTTTTCCATCTCCAAAAACAGGTATTGCAGGAGTCTCACTAAGCCAACATATCTAAAAATACAAATTAAGAATGAAGTTACTTTTAACTAGAGCTAAAAAAGGAGTATTTTTTTACTAGGCAAATCTATATATTCAGGTTTTAAAGTTCAATTTCTTGAATGATTAATGGAACTGCAATAAAGACAACAATTCTTGAGAAATACTGACTGGCAGCCTACAAAAATTAAGAAACTTTTTTTAAATAAAGAATGTTCTTTGATCTTGAAAAATTTTATTTTGTATCCCAAGTAAAGGAAATGCTTGGGAAAAAAAAAAAAAATAAAGTTGAGAAGACATTTTTCCTGATTCCATTGATATGACAGACATGTTCTCACTTAAAAGTACATACAGAGATACTGTTGAAAAACTATGGAAAAAAAAAAAAATATAGAGCCAAAAAAGTGGAAAACACTTCTACTGTAGCTATAACATTTCAAAGGGATCAAAGTTTTGTTCACAAAAGTATTAAGCTTATAATACCAAAACTATTAAATGCATTAAATTCCAGTATGGTTTCCACCTAGAAATTAAATGAACCTTCAAAAACAGTAGGATATTTACCTTAAAAAAGTAGTGGAAGACTCCTTCCCCAGCTCCATATTGATGTCCTGAGGCAACAACATAAGTTGAAAATTTTTTTTTGTTCTGTGAAGTAGAGTCAACAAGAAAGGTTTTATGAAAATAAGGTACTGCAAATGGGATACTGGCTTACCCTGAAATTTGAGTACTTGTGCACTAAATATAGAGTGTGTAAATTATATAACTTAAAATTTGTACTTAGATCAATTGTTGAATATTCTGTAGTTTTATAAGTCATATTGCTAATATTTCATTCAAAAAAGCATTGCTCAATCAGAATTGACCTGTCTATATTTGAACTGGAATTCTAAAAAATTTTTAAGAGTTAAAAAATTGGAAGTAAGTTATGTAAATCCATGAAGTGAACAGGATAATTCAAGTTTCAACTTTCTATTTCCAAGAAAAATAACTCTGAAATTCATTTAAGCTATTTTTTAATTGCATTATATTCACATTTGACTGCCTAAAGAAGTGGAAAATGCTATAACAATTATTTTACAATTGCTTAACTTTCATTTTGAGATACAATAAAAAAAAAAAAAATCAGTGAACTATCTAAGTGTTTTCCTAACCACACATCATGATCAGTTCAGATAATTTTTGCTGACTATCACTGCATAGTGTTATAAATTTGTGTGCTGTGGCTGCCTGTTTGTGTAAAATGTTACTGCTTGGATCAATGTTGAGGATTTTTATACAGAGAAAAGCCAGATTTTTAAATAATCTTAAGAAGAAAAACTTTCAAGAAAATATTTTAAATTAGGAGCAGTCACTTTGAAATTTTTAAGATGAAACAAAATAATTTAATAATTCTCATGTTGTAAAGATGCTAGATATTATATAACTGCATAATTATGTTAAAGCACCTGCATTTACCAGTGGAGGGAATAAATGCTCAGATTTGGGATCTACTTTTTTAGTGAAAAAATGTATCTTTTGTTATCATCTTTATAACATTTCAGAAACATAAAATAAGAACACTACTAGCCAATATTTGATTGCATAAGCAAAGCACCACATAAAGGGATGACAAGCTATAACATCAGCATATTGTATCTGTGTATGTGTTTTTTATCTATCTACTTACAATATAAAACTTTGTAATAAAAGCTTTCTCAACTCACTCGATTGCAACAGGTTGTTAGGAATCACAAGGAACAATTAAAATTAGAAGACATTACAGATAGCATAAAAGCTCCGGTGAGTTGTACCATGATTGAAACTGTAGCCCAAGAGCAGCAGCTCCCAGGATTGCTCTGGACAGACTGCAAATGTGCCCCAGGAGAAGACATGATGTAATTTCCATCTCACAGCAGGAAAAACCTGCTTCTTGTGAAAGCACAGGAGATGCTATTTCTCACCTCCCTTAAGAAGAATGTAACACTTAGGACTTTCTTCCATTTACCTCACAGTAGCTTCTGCAGTAGCCAGGAGCGAAGGCAAACCACAGTTCACTGAAATACAAACCTCTGAAACAAGTTCAAGTCCTCTAAAAATATCTTTTTAGTGTCACAAGTCACACATATGAGAAGGTACTACTTGAGATGACTTGGATATACTTAATTTAAAAAATAAGGCAATTACCAGGCAAGCTCCAGATACACACAGCATGTTTAGTCACAGGTGGACTTTCAAGTTCCTGTGTAATATTCATTAAAGCCACTAGATGTCACATTCTAGCTATTATAGGCAGTTCTAGGCTTTGTTTTACATTTGTTTGTTTGTTTTATTCTAATAAAATGCTTCAAGTGTGAAACAAATCAAAATTAATGAATTCAGAAACTGTGACGCCACTTTTTTTATGAAGAGCTCTTCTGTCTGTGGCAGGCAGATGTTTCTCCAAGGATTCTGAATTTGACAGAACCCCAGACTCTGTGATTTCTCTCTGAGAAAAGGTACATAGCCCAAGCACCCTACCACAAAGGTAAAGGTACAAAAATGCTAGTGGTAAGAAGCCAAGACTTCTCGCTCACAACTCTTGCTGAATTTTAAGCAAAATATAGGTGGGAGATACACTAACTCAGAGAGGTGAAAACATGTTTTAAGCAACAACAGCCATTAAATTACACTCTGAACAGGTATCAAGGTTAAGAAACGCTTCTATTCTTAGGTGCAAGATCTTAACTCTACATGACTGACATGGCTACTGAATCTTAGTATCTCCTGGTGTGCTTTTTGCAGGCAAGTGGTAACAGTCATTTCTTTCCCAGATGGCACATTCCCCAGATGCCACTGAATTTAGAAATGAGTAAGAACTGTAATCCAGAAGTCTCGAGCCATCACAGGAATCTAATGTTTATCTACTGGGAAGAACAGATGCTTTGGAGCCTTCCTGTTCCAAAGTCCTGACAGAAACTAAACAAGGGCAATGATACCCATTGCTGCTGCCCCTGGAGTTCTGGAGGAAAAGGGCTCCTTTTGAAAGGCCTATCTACAAGAGGTATATTCTGTCCCTGGGAAGTTGATGGAGCAACTTATTCTTGATACCATCTCTAAGCAATTGGAAGAAATGAATGTTATCAGGAGTAGTCAACATGGATTCACTAAGGGGAAATCATGCTTGACCAATCTGGTAGCCTTCTATGATGTCATCACCAGCTGGGCAGATGAGGGGAGAGCAGTGGATGTTGTCTACCTTGATTTCAGCAAGACTTTTGATACTGTATCCCACAACATCCTTGTAACAAAGCTTAGAAGGTCTGGGATAGATGAGTGGATGGTGAGGTGGATTGATAACTGTCTGACTGTCAGAGCTCAGAAGGTTGTGATCAGTGGCGCAGAATCCAGTTGGAGGCCTGTAACTAGCAGTGTTCCCCAGGGGTCGGTACTGGGTCCGGTCTTGTTTAACATCTTCATCAACAACCTGGATGCAGGGGTAGCATCCAGCCTCAGCAAGTTTGCTGATGATATAGAGCTGAGAGGAGTGGTTGACACACCAGAAGGCTG